AAGAAATTACAAATTGCAAAGTATTTGTCTTTCCTGTAACTGTCCTTCCCATAACTCTCATTTTCGTTATGGTAAAGACAGGTTTTGCTACAGAGAAGACATCTGGCTCTAAAAAGGTTATTTACGTCTGCCGTTACATAGCAATAAATGAACATAAAACCTTTGAAAACCGGACGTACGCAGATATAATTTTAGCTAATGTGTCAATTAAAAGAAAGAATTTGAAAACATATTATGAAGACCTTTCTTATAATTATTACAGGAAGGACAAATGTTGTTACTGTAAAAGACATTATCATTCAATAAGGCACTTATAATGAACTATTACACAGAAATGACGTTTGACTGTATACAGTATTACAAGCTATTAACCTAGACACACACACACAATATGATCATTGGAAGTCATCTATGCTGAAAATTAAAGATTTGGTTACAGGCAAGACAATGTCTTGTTATGGGGACAGACATTTGTCCTCTGAAATGTGAATTTCTAGTTGACACTTGTGCTAAAATAACATTTACATGGATGAAAAAGTGTTAAACATTAGATGAAGGATCATACTTGTAACTGTAAGTATAAATCTAAAAATAATTGATTTTTCTATTAATCTGACAAAAAACGTTACTGGACGGACATATTTTGTTACAGAAAAGACATTATTATTTCAAAATGTCACTTACATGCCACGATTACACAGAAGCAATATTTGACTGTATGATACGATATTATCTATTAGACATGCAATAAATAATTGTTTGTATGAAGATATGATTATTGGGGTGATAATGCTGAAACAGTAAGTTATTGTTACAGGAAAGGCATTTTCTTTTTATGGGAATAGACATTTGTCCTCCGAAATGTGAATTTCTCGTTGGCACCTGTGGTAAAATAACATTTACATTGATGACAATCTGTCAAACATTAGATACAGGATCATACTCGTTACTGTAAATAACTAATTATTGATTTTTTAATATAAATTTACCAAAAACTGTTTTTGTTAAAGAAAAGACATTATTATTTCAAAATGGCACTTATATGAAACGAAAACACAGAAGCAATATTTTAATATATATAATATGGTATTATCTAGAAAGAGAAGAGACAGATGGTGGAGTCGGCAAACAGAAAGAGAAGAGACAGATGGTGGAGTGTGCAAACAGAAAGAGAAGAGACAGATGGTGGAGTGGGCAAACAGAAAGAGAAGAGACAGATGCTGGAGTGGGCAAACAGAAAGAGAAGAGACAGATGCTGGAGTGGGCAAACAGAAGAGACAGATGGTGGAGTGGGCAAACAGAAGAGACAGATGTTGGAGTGGGCAAACAGAAAGATAAGAGACAGATGGTGGAGTGGGCAAACAGAAAGAGAAGAGACAGATGGTGGAGTGGGCAAACAGAAACAGAAGAGACAGATGGTGGAGTGGGCAAACAGAAGAGACAGATGTTGGAGTGGGCAAACAGAGAGAGAAGAGACAGATGGTGGAGTGTGCAAACAAAAACAGAAGGGAAGGATGCTGGAGTGGGCAAACAGAAAGATAAGAGACAGAAGGTGGAGTGGGCAAACAGAAAGAGAAGAGACAGATGGTGGAGTGGGCAAACAGAAAGATAAGAGACAGATGGTGGAGTGGGCAAACAGAAAGATAAGAGACAGATGGTGGAGTGGGCAAACAGAAAGAGAAGAGACAGATGTTGGAGTGGGCAAACAGAAAGAGAAGAGACAGATGGTGGAGTGTGCGAACAGAAATATAAGGGAAAGATGGTGGAGTGGGCAAACAGAAAGATAAGAGACAGATGGTGGAGTGGGCAAACAGAAAGAGAAGAGACAGATGGTGGAGTGGGCAAACCGAAAGAAAAGACAGATGGTGGAGTGTGCGAACAGAAAGAGAAAAGACAGATGGTGGAGTGTGCGAACAGAAAGAGAAGAGACAGATGGTGGAGTGGCCAAACAGAAAGAGAAGAGACAGATGGTGGAGTGGGCAAACAGAAAGAGAAGAGACAGATGGTGGAGTGGGCGAACAGAAAGAGAAGAGACAGATGGTGGAGTGGGCAAACAGGAGAAGAGACAGATGGTGGAGTGGGCAAACAGAAAGATAAGGGAAAGATGGTGGAGTGGGCAAACAGAAAGAGAAGAGACAGATGCTGGAGTGGGCAAACAGAAAGAGAAGAGACAGATGCTGGAGTGGGCAAACAGAAGAGACAGATGGTGGAGTGGGCAAACAGAAGAGACAGATGTTGGAGTGGGCAAACAGAAAGATAAGAGACAGATGGTGGAGTGGGCAAACAGAAAGAGAAGAGACAGATGGTGGAGTGGGCAAACAGAAACAGAAGAGACAGATGGTGGAGTGGGCAAACAGAAGAGACAGATGTTGGAGTGGGCAAACAGAGAGAGAAGAGACAGATGGTGGAGTGTGCAAACAAAAACAGAAGGGAAGGATGCTGGAGTGGGCAAACAGAAAGATAAGAGACAGAAGGTGGAGTGGGCAAACAGAAAGAGAAGAGACAGATGGTGGAGTGGGCAAACAGAAAGATAAGAGACAGATGGTGGAGTGGGCAAACAGAAAGATAAGAGACAGATGGTGGAGTGGGCAAACAGAAAGAGAAGAGACAGATGTTGGAGTGGGCAAACAGAAAGAGAAGAGACAGATGGTGGAGTGTGCGAACAGAAATATAAGGGAAAGATGGTGGAGTGGGCAAACAGAAAGATAAGAGACAGATGGTGGAGTGGGCAAACAGAAAGAGAAGAGACAGATGGTGGAGTGGGCAAACCGAAAGAAAAGACAGATGGTGGAGTGTGCGAACAGAAAGAGAAAAGACAGATGGTGGAGTGTGCGAACAGAAAGAGAAGAGACAGATGGTGGAGTGGCCAAACAGAAAGAGAAGAGACAGATGGTGGAGTGGGCAAACAGAAAGAGAAGAGACAGATGGTGGAGTGGGCGAACAGAAAGAGAAGAGACAGATGGTGGAGTGGGCAAACAGGAGAAGAGACAGATGGTGGAGTGGGCAAACAGAAAGATAAGGGAAAGATGGTGGAGTGGGCAAACAGAAAGAGAAGAGACAGATGGTGGAGTGGGCAAACAGAAAGATAAGGGAAAGATGGTGGAGTGGGCAAACAGAAAGAGAAGAGACAGATGGTGGAGTGGGCAAACAGAAAGAGAAGAGACAGATGGTAGAGTGGGCAAACAGAAAGATAAGGGAAAGATGGTGGAGGATATGTGATCCAGGATATGTGGCGAATGAAGGCTTTGAAGATGTTTATGTTGAATGCATGCGCAAAGTTGGTAACATATATGCTAACCGTTTCTACTGACCAAAACAAATTGTTGATGGGTGTTGGACAATTATACTTAAACCATGCTGGGTCGTTACAATTTGAAATTGATCAACAAATAGGGCGATATGCAGTGGACTGTGGACACAATCAGTGAAGAACTTCTCTAAAATGTTGGTTGTTGGTTTGTTTGTTGTTTAACGCCGCGCTCAGCAATATTCGAACTATATGACGGCGGTATGTTAATAATCGAGTCTGGACCAGACAATCCAGTGATTAATATCATGAGCATAGATCCACGCAATTTGGATCGATGACATGCATCATTAACCAAGTCAGCAAGCCTGACCACCCGATCCGATTAGTCGCCTCTCACGCTAAAATGTTTGAAGCTACACGTAAATGTTGTTTGTAAGACCACTCATCATCAATGCATTTATTGTTAAAGTCTGTTCACCTATCTTTAATGTTTCACAGAATTGGTTGTCAAATGTCTAGGTTCTGTTTTTTATTGATATCAGATCACTGTATTCAAAATTATAAGCTTGTAAACTTGATTTAAAGAGAACACTTTAAAACTGATGACAAGGAGTATATGGTCAGGAACTAAGGTAATAGTTGTGTCTTTTAGCAAATGTATAGACATGCATGTATTTGTAATTCAGTCAGAGTACTTATTTGGACACGCGCCTTGACGAGGTGAAATCCTTGAGAGAGAATGTATTTCGGAGCATGGATTATCAGGGAGATTACAGTATACTTATCTTAGTTTTTTACAAATGTCCATCCTGTAACATATTTCATTTAACACCAGGCGATTGGCATCGCTTCATACTTTCTTGTTACAGGGTTTGATTTTAACATATTGTGTAATTCTGGAGAAAATACACCAAGAACCTGTTACAATTTTTTCCTGTCCTTTAACAAAATTGTTCATCCCATAACATAGCTTTCTTGTTTGAAACGCTATGTCAGATTTTCCACATGCAGCTTCATGTATGTGTCTGTTTGAACAAATGACGTAAACGTATCCATCTTTGTCGTAAACTTATCTATGTCTGTCGTAATAGGCGGTGTACATGTGTCCATGTCTGTCGTAATAAGGGGCGTAAACATGTCCATGTTATCGTAATAAGAGTCGTAAACATAACCACGTCTGTCGTAATAAGAGACGTAAACATAAGCACGTCTGTCGTAAATAGAAACGTAAACATAAGTACGTCTGTTGTAAACGGTGACGTAAACGTGTCCATGTCTGTCGTAAAAAGCGACGTAAATATATCCACGTCTGTCGTAAAAGGTGACGTAAACGTATCTCTTTCTGTCGTAATTGGTGGCGTAAACGTGTCGGTGTCTGACTTAATAAGGGACGTAAGCGTTTCTATGTTGTCGTAATAAGCGACATAAACGTATCCATGTCTGTCGTAATAAGCTATGTAAACGTATCCATCTTTGTCGTAAAAAGCGACGTAAACGTATCCATGGCTATCGTAAAAAGAGACGTAAACTTATCCACGTCTGACGTAATAGATGACGTAAACATGTCCCTGTCTGTAAATGTGGACACCATGAGCGCTTTGATTAAGCGTGTCATCAGACGCTGATGGTAGATGCACACGTGGACTGTCAGTCAATAATGTGATAGTTTTAGATCCTATAAACAGATCAGAAAGCCATGATGCTACGAAATGCCGCTTCCCAACTGGGAACAGCTCTGCGTCCCTCTCACCTGCTATGATGCTGCAGTCAGGGCCTGTCCTTCCGGGCACACCCGAACAATCACACGTCTTGCCATTGGGTGGGCAAGTTGTTCCGGAAGCACAGTTCACTCCATATCGGTTGCAGTCAAAATGAACAGGAGCTACAAGACATATAATAGTGATTGAGTGAGTGGCTTTGGTTGAGGGGCGCTTTGAACAGATGCCGGTGATATCACGCCATGTCAACTTGATCCTGATGTTGGAACAAACCCGAAGTGGTGGACTACGACGTTTACCATTTGGGTGAAATCTACTAGCCATGCATGCAGTTATGATGTCCAAGCAAAGAGTTATAATGTCCAAGTAAAGAGTAATAATGTCTAATGCATGCACAATAAGGAACGCAACTCTGCCTCGGCGAATTACGGCGCTTTAGACGACCTGCCCGACTGTGCTTCAACATGACTCACAATCTGCACTTTACAACAGCTGAATGCACCCCCTCTTCAAATATGACCGACCGTAATACAATTGTTTCTTTAGTTTCGTTGTCATGGATAATCTTGTGTAGTTGGACACCGATGATGTAGATATAGGCATCATAATATGTTTTATGAAGATATATGAGACATGATGTTATACAATGCACATGCATACCCATTTGCAGAGCACCTGGTAACACCGTTGGAATTTTAAAATACTTATGGGTGTTTTGTTATTATCGAGCTGCTTTTTTTGTTTCTCTCAGTTATTGAGATAAGCGTAGTGTCCCTACCCCAGTGGTTAACAATTATACACACATACCTTTCTACCATTTTACTGCTTATAGCACCTTACCATCATCATCTTCTATGCAGGCTTCAATGGTTGTGTTGGCATAATTCTCAGCAGACAGTGTGACCAAGAACGTTTCTCTGGACTCAGTCCCCTGAAAATATAAACACTCTTTATATGAAAAGAACTTTACAGCATATCATTTCAATGTCATGTTCTCTTCCAATGATACATTAAACGACAATAGTTTACAAATAATGGTGGAACGCAATCATACATCCACACTTGCACGTACCAGATCGTCAACAATCGGAATTTCCAGGATGACATATTCATCCATTTCATGGAACTCGAGAATACGAATAGTTGTCAGATAATCGCTTCCAGATTTGGCACTGACGTCTTCATATTGCACCGTCACATTCAAAGGTCCTCTGTCAAACTGGGATCGGTGGACGTGAAGACGGACAACTCCCCGATTCTCCGGTTCACATGTTTTTTCATTTATGGTGAACACGAGATAATCATCTGCAAAACACAACACATGTCAATCTGTAAAAACAAGTTGAATACGTTAATACACTATGTACCTTGCGGCAATGGATGATGCCGTTACGAGCTGTCTCAAATAAATATACCTGTGATGGTTTTGAAATGAGTGATCTTGCAAAATACAGTCATGCTATTGTGTAGTACTTAACATAAAAAGTCTAAATTATTAACACTTTAATTAACAGCCTCAGATTTGTTCATGACTAGTTCCGAGGACTAAGTAGAAACTGTATTTCACTTGTCTTTAGATATTGGACCTACAAATATAGTCCTCTCCGAACAAGAAAAAATGTTTACTATGTTTCCATTTTGTATCAGTTTTATTTGGTTCTAATTTGTACCATTATTAAAGCATTGAGAACTGGATCATAAGCATAGCGCTTAAATGCTATTAGTGGATAAGGACTGACATTGTTGGATGTTTGCTTGTCCTCAGCAGCATGTAGTAGTCACAGGTACCACGTATAACCTTGGCTGTTGAATCAGTGTTCTTCGCCACCCACTCATGTGTAAAAACTCACCATCATCAATAATGCAGATTTGTATGGTTTCGTTGTTATATCCTTCCGTATAAAGTGTGATAGAGAAGTTTTCCCGTGATTCCATGATCTAAAAGGTGAAACAGTCGTTTATTACCTACAAGGGCAAACATATCGGGGTTCATTAAAATCATATGTGCCCTAGGGTCATACCAAAGAGTTATAATGTCCAAGCAAAGCGTTATCATATCCAAGCTTAGATTTATCATGTCAAAGCTAAGATTTATCATGCCCAAACTAAGGGTTATCATGTCCAAGCTAGGAGTTATCATGTCCAAGCTAGGAGTTATCATGTCTAAGCTAGGAGTTATCATGTCAAGACCTAAGAGGTATAATGTCCAAGCAAAGCGTTATCATGTCCAAGGTAAGAGTTATTATGTCCAAGCAAGGAGTTATCATGTCTAAGCTAGGAGTTATCATGTCAAGACCTAAGAGGTATAATGTCCAAGCAAAGCGTCATCATAACCAAGCTAAGAGTTTCCATGTCCAAGCTAAGGGTTATCATGTCCAAGCTAAGAGTTTTCATGCCCAAGCTAGGAGTTTTCATGCCCAAGCTAGGAGTTTTCATGCCCAAGCAAAGCGTTATCATGTCCAAGCTGAGAGTTATCATGTCCAAGCTGAGAGTTATCATGTCCAAGCTAAGAGTTATCATGTCCAAGCTAAGAGTTTTCATGCCCAAGCTAGGAGTTTTCATGCCCAAGCTAGGAGTTTTCATGCCCAAGCAAAGCGTTATCTTGACCAAGCTGAGAGTTATCATGTCCAAGCTGAGAGTTATCATGTCCAAGCTGAGAGTTATCATGTCCAAGCTAAGAGTTATCATGTCCAAGTTAAGAGTTTTCATGCCCAAGCTAGGAGTTTTCATGCCCAAGCTAGGAGTTTTCATGCCCAAGCAAAGCGTTATCATGTCCAAGCTGAGAGTTATGTCTAAGCTGAGAGTTATCATGTCCAAGCTGAGAGTTATCATGTCCAAGCTGAGAGTTATCATGTCCAAGCTGAGAGTTATCATGTCCAAGCTAAGAGTTATTATGTCCAGACCTTTTGGTTATCATGTCCACGCTAAGAGTTATTATGTCCAAGCTAGGAGTTATTATGTCTAAGCAAACCGTTATCATGTCCAAGCAAAGTGTTATCATATCCAAGCTTAGATCTATCATGTCCAAGCTAAGATTTATCATGTCCAAGCTAGGAGTCATTATGTCTAAGCTAGGAGTTTTCATGTCCAAGCTGAGAGTTTTCATGTCCAAGCTAGGAGTTATCATGTCTAAGCTAAGAGTTATCATGTCCAAGCTAGGAGTTATCATGTCCTGACCTCAGAGTTATCATGTCCAAGCTGAGAGTTATCATGTCCAAGCTAGGAGTTATCATGTCCAGACCTATGGGTTATCATGTCAAAGGTAAGAGTTATCATGTCCAAGCTGAGAGTTATCATGTCCAAGCTGAGAGTTGTCATGTCCAAGCTAAGAGGTTTCATGTCCAAGCTAAGAGTTATCATGTCCAAGCTGAGAGTTATCATGTCCAAGCTAAGAGTTATCATGTCCAAGCTGAGAGTTATCATGTCCAAGCTAAGAGTTATCGTGTCCAAGCTGAGAGATATCATGTCCAACCTAAGAGGTTTCATGTCCAAGCTGAGAGTTATCATGTCCAAGCTTAGAGTTATCATGATCAAGCTGAGAGTTATCATGTCCAAGCTATGAGTTATCATGTCCAAGCTGAGAGTTATCATGTCCAGACCTAAGAGATATACTTTCCAAACAAAGCGTTATCATGTCCAAGCTAAGAGTTATCATGTCCAAGCTGAGAGTTATCATGTCCAAGCTGAGAGTTATCATGTCCAAGCTAAGAGTTATTATGTCCAAGCTGAGAGTTAACATGTCCAAGCTAGGAGTTATTATGTCCAAGCTAAGGGTTATCATGTCATCACTGACTCTGACATCAACCTGGAGAAGCAGATCAGCCACCTACAGCTGAAGAACATCATCAAGATCAGAACCTGTCTCCCGAAAGAAGCAACGTAACTCAGTCTACCAATATTTCCCGGATCGATTGTTATAACCTTCTCGCCCACTCCACTAAAATTCTCCTCCACCGATTACCACGTATCCGAAATAACGTTGCTCGTCTTGTCTCTCTTTCTCCAAAGTCCAACGACATCACTCCCATCCTCAAAGAACTATGCTGGCTTCCTCTTCCGTACACATCAATGTTACTCTAGAATCGCCCTAAGTGATCTTTATGCAACTAAGTGGACCAGCACTATAATATCGGCATTAGTCAGGACTAGTACAAGCAGTCGCACGCACGCACGCACGTTGGCCTGATTTTTTTAACAGAACATAACACGTCGCAAAATTGTAATTCTTGTGGCGGGCAGTTTCTTTTTTAACAACGGTCTGAAGCATAATTAACGTTTTTCCAGAATTTTCAGATGACTTCTTTTTTCCCCCCAAATTGGGAGAAACAAACCTGAAGCACCGAGAATAATGGGGAGTCGGACAACTTGATACTTGGGAGGCAAGCGTGACATTTCGTAAGCGTGATCCGCATATTTGCCATGTTTTTCCTGAATCTTGTCAAAACACATTAGTGTCAAGAGGGACAGAGAATACAATGATAAATATGATTTCATTGGATTTATTAAAAAAGAACAAGATCAGGTTTGTCGGCCTGGATGGGTCTATTATAAAGGCCTGTACGGGCATAAAATAAAGAATTTTGTAGTGATCATTTTCCATGACGCACTCTACATATTCTTGGTCGTACCATGGATGGACCCGGGGCCTCGGCGTGACGAGCGACCACTCTAACCACCAGGCTACCCAAACGTCCAGGGTGTCGGGAAGCGGGTGCTAGCCTAACTAAGGTACGCAACTCAGCCAATTGCCGGCCCACGCGATTCCCCCAAACATGCATTGTTATGTAAATGAACAGAGCGTTCAAGTTAGTTACATGTACCTTATCTTTTAATATTGGTATTTGCAGTGTTGCCTGTCTGTCCCTTTCAGCGAACTGTAGACTTGTGACGTTTGATAAGTAGTCGCTGCCGTCCATGGCGGTGCCGTCGTCGTATTCCAACGTCACAGTCAGCGTTTCCGTGTCGCATGGGGGTCTGAGGACATGGAGGTGTGGAGCTTCCTCGTCTTCCTTGAAGCAGTACTTGCCCACGACGGTGAACTCTTTGACTTGGTTTTTATCTGTCATATAGTGAGCAACAATTAATATGCTTCGTCGTTGTAATATGTGAAGTGCAACCAGACAATTATAAGTATATATTTAACAGGAATCTCACTCAGCACTTTTTTATAATTAACAGGAAAGTATGTACTTTATTATAGCAGTTTGTTATTGTCAACAAGAAATTATTTGTTGTATGTCAGCAACTTTGTATCTTTTTACCATGAAAGTATTTCAGCAAAAATATGTATTTATTACAAAACTGTTTCTGTAATTTCATTCAATTAATTTATTTTTCATAAGAATCGACACGATTATATATTGCTCATATGTTTAAGACACTTTCAGACAATTTGCATTTTAAACAAGAAAGCGGCGTCAGCACATCTCAGCTTTAGTTCCAATAAAATACGTTAACTTGGATGTCTGGTTAAAGATGGTCTCATTCAGACAGTAATCGTAGAACAAATTCAAAATTATGATTAAATATTTCATTCTGAAAATGTCACAATTCATAATTGCATGTTGCTACTAAAGCTAAATATTTCAGAATTCATTCGCTGTATTTTCATTTTTGATTGTTGTGTATTACTAGAGCGGCAAGTATCTACTTACGGAAATAGAAATATGTTTAAACAAAGCACTAACCGATGTCTCCTGAGATGCAGAGTTGGATGGTTTTACTGAAGTATCTCTCGTGAGTTAGTTTTATGAAGAATACTTCTTCTGATTCAATCACCTAAAATGTGAAATATGTAGACGTTCATCGCAGATGTTTGTTTGTTATTGTTTCTTAACGCCGCACTCATCGATATTACATCTATCTATGATGGCGGTCTGTAAATAATTGAGTCTGAAACAGACAATCCAGTGATTAATATGTCATAAGCAGCGATCCACGCAATTGGGATACGATGACATGCATCAACCAAGTCAGCGAGCCTGTCCACCCGATCCCGTTAGTCGCCTTTTACGGCAAGCATGGGTTGCTGAAGACCTATTCTTCCCCGGATCTTCACGGGGGACAAGCATGGGTTGCTGAAGACCTATTCTATGCCGGATCTTCACGGGGGACAAGCATGGGTTGCTGAAGACCTATTCTATGCCGGATCTTCACGGGGGACAAGCATTGGTTGCTGCAAACCTATTCTACCCCGGATCGTCACGCGTCGACCAGATAATGCAGTGAAAGTGGGCCAATTACACAAGTAATATATATTTAATTGAGAATTGACTTTCACATTGTGTGAGTTCACTGGAATCTGAACAATCATTGAGTGAGGCTGTACTGTTTATCGTTGACGGATTTTAGTCACGATATGGATGGAATACCGCTGTGGCTACTCACTCACTGTATATACTTCGGAGCGTGCGAAGACGCTCCTGCAATGTTTGGCCCTCACTCTATGACGGTTCATACTCCAATGAACTCACACAAAGTGACCGTCATTTATTACATGTTTTATGTCCATTGTTTTACCCCACAAGATGTAGACACAAGTATATATATCCAGCTGGATCGTGGAAACAAATAGGTTCTCAAAACGAAAGATCATAAGAGTGTATGCATGCTCAATTAGGTCCTCAGTAAAATAGTTTGAACGTCTACGACCAGCGTTTCGTTTGGCTTTTCTCCCACGTGAAACCCATCTTCCCGAGGCCAGGGAGTTAACTGACTATAAAAGTCCAGTTTCCACCCTTGCCAATCAAAATCGCGTATCAAAATCAACATCCGGTTCGTAATTATAAATAATATGGATTACAACGTGCAGATTTCAGTCGACTGAAGGATTTGCAGAGGATGTGTACCGTCAACTGGGCGTCGACAGATATTTTCAAAATCTTTTCTGGTTTTAAAATCAACGTGCTCATGTGATTTGATGCATTTCGCGAGGTAAGACCCATTCTATTTCAATGTAGATCTTGATGATCTATCATATCGTCTTGACCGGGCGCCGCCATTTTGTTCGAAGCAAATGCAAGTGATATGATACGTGGAATCAGATTAGTCAGTGGGAGACACATAGAAGGGACATAACTCGAAAAAGCCTCTGGTGGCGCTACGATCGAGCCTGGAAATTCCAGCCTATATCGGCAAGGGTGGAAACTGGACTTTTATAGTCAGTAAACTCCCTTGTTTTGGGAAGATGCGTCAAACCACACTCGATCACCCCATGCACTTTACCTCATCCTGAACTAGACCAATCATCAGCATAACACTCTCTTCATTTCTAGCGAACTCCAGGCGAGTCACAACTGTAGAAAAGTCGTTGCCAGCCTCGGCGCTGTCGGTGTCGTACTCCACAGAGACATTCAGTGTACCCGTGTCTGACGCTGGCCTTCCAACCCGCAGCTGTATGGCTGTTTCATTCTCAAAGACACACCTCATATCAGACACGATGAAATCCAATAGTGCTGTGTCCTTTCCTACGAATAAAGACAATATTTTGCGTTTTTAATGCATTGGTGTATATGTTTTTATGTACATTGTATTTGTTTACTTGGGACCTGGGAAACAACGTGTATTACATTCATCATTAACGTATTACATTCTTGTTGTGTAGGTTGATTCGTATGTAACGTTCAGTATTTTAAACAAAAACATTATACCTATCAGTTGAATGTAATATATAGAGGTGAGGATTTCACAAGTGTCAGTGCACGTGTCTTACCATCGTCGTCGAGGATGGTTATATTCAGTGTCTCATCGAAATATCCCTCCGCGATGAGTGTCACGGAGAATTTCTCCCTCGATTCAGTCACCTGTAACAAACAGAAGCAACGTATGTAACAAACAGAAGCAACGCATGTAACAAACAGAAGCAACGCATGTAACAAACAGAACAAGCAACGCATGTAGCAAACATAACAAGCAACGCATGTAGCAAACATAACAAGCAACGTATGTAGCAAACAGAAGCAACGCATGTAACAAACAGAACAAGCAAGGTATGTAACAAACATTCCAAGCAACGCATGAAACAAACATAAAAAGCAACGCATGTAACAAACATAAGAAGCAACACATGTAACATACATTCCAAGCAACGCATGAAACAAACATATCAAGCAAAGCATCTAACAAACATATCAAGCAACGCACGTAACATGCAAAAGCAACGCATTTTACAAACATATAAGCGACACATGTAACAAACATAACACGCAACGCGTGTAACAAACATCATCAGCGACCGTAACAACTCCAACATGGTCATCTGTACGGGGCGACAGTACGCATGACCATCGTGGTTAGCACCACATTGATGACATGAATAATTTGACCTTTAAGATAACTTACCCAATATGTTATATCCATTGTAACGGGATATCGGTGTAACCAGGTTCCTCTTTACAGAAGCCGGTTTTCATATCAAATCATTACAAACATTCAATATATTTTAAATAAAACAAAAGTTCCTCCGTAATAAAGACTACGACAGTGTGCATTCTAATGAAGTCGCAAAGTCTGTATCTAGTCTAGTGGTTAAAGCGTTCGTTGTTTCGTTCGTCACGCAGAGCCACGGGTTCGATTCCCAATATGTGTAAAATGTGTGAAGCCCATTTCTGTTGGTCCCCGCCGAGATATTGCTGGAATATTTCTAAAAGCGGCGCAAAACGCATCTCACTCACTGGCTAGTGTCAAAAAATCCTGTACCTCGTCGTTGAGTATTGGGATCTCCAGCCACGCCTTTGCTTCTCCCTCTCCAAACTCGAGCCTGGTCACTGCGGCTGAATAATCACGATGCACCCTGGCGCTGCCAACCTCATACTTCACAGCCAGGGGAAGGGGGTCGGTGTCAAAGGGTCCCCTCCATATTGGGATCTTAGCTGTTTCGTTTTCAGAGACGGAAATGCTTCTTGGCACTCGCAACTTCAGGAGGTCACCTGAACAAGGGTGTGTTGTAATTTTCTATTTGATCATCGCATTTTTACAGATTGTATTTGAGGATTTACATATATGCATCGACACGACCTTTGAATAATTCGCGTGCAAGACTACAGCTCGATGAGAACGTACCTTCGCTGAACTCTTCATCACTGATGCAAACTGTCACTCCGAGTGTGTTAAGGCCTGGAGCTTCAATTAACACTTGGAAACTTTCCTCTTCTTCTTGATCCTGTCATTTTAAGCACATTATTTTAATTGTTAATGTTCCTTGAATGATTATATTAGTAATAGCGTGTTATTGTCAAAATTAACAAAGATTAGACATGGATCATTTCAATGTGCAGTTGATGTAGATACAGTATGGCAATTGTTGCATCATGACTCACCCCATCAATCGCAATACCAATGGTGATGAAGGTGCCCCGGCCCGGAGGGGTCACAGTGACGGTGTGTGACGAGAGGGCAGTGAAGTCCCCAGGGGAGGTGGCCGTGGCATCCACTGTGTTGATGGTCAGTGTCACAGGGGCCGTCAAGTTCCCAGTTATCCGCACTGGAATGGCCACTTGACCGTCCTCTTCCCACACACAGGAAGACTCGTCAAACAGGTGAGATAATTGTGGAAAGGATTTAGCTGAAATCATTAGATGTCTGCTCGTAGCAACACATCAACTCAATGATAGGAATATCATGCTCAGCGTGCTACATCGACAGATTGGACGATCAGACCAGATGTTTGTTAAAATGTAACCGATGAACGCAACCGAGACAAGGGGTGTGGGGGACGGAGGTGGGTGTGGGGGACGGAGGTGGGGTGGGGGACGGTGGTGGGGTGGGGGACGGAGGTGGGGGTGGGGGACGGAGGTTGGTTGGGGGACGGAGGTGGGGTGGGGGACGGAGGTGGGGTGGGGGACGGAGGTGGGGTGGTGGACGGAGGTTGGGGTGGGGGACGGAGGTGGGGTGGGGGACGGAGGTGGGGTGGGGGACGGAAGTGGGTTGGGGTGGGGGACGGAGGTGGGGTGGTGGACGGAGGTTGGGTGGGGGACGGAGGTGGGTTGGGGGACGGAAGTGGGTTGGGGTGGGGGACGGAGGTTGGGGTGGGGGACGGAGGTTGGGTGGGGGACGGAGGTGGGTTGGGGGACGGAAGTGGGGTTGGGGACGGAGGTGGGGTGGTGGACGGAGGCTGGTTGGGGGACGGAGGTGGGGTGGGGGATGGAGGTTGGGTGGGGGACGGAGGTGGGGGTGGGGGACGGAGGTGGGGGTGGGGGACGGAGGTGGGGTGGTGGACGGAGGTGGGGGTGGGGGACGGTGGTGGGGTGGGGGACGGAGGCGGGGGTGGGGGACGGTTGTGGGGTGGGGGACGGAGGCTGGTTGGGGGACGGAGGTGGGGTGGGGGATGGAGGTTGGGTGGGGGACGGAGGTGGGGGCAGCTGAAATGGGCTTTATGCATTGCACCCATGTGGGGAATCGAACCCAGGTCTTTAGGGTGAAACGCGACCGCTTTAACCATTGGGCTACCCCACCGCTCTTGATAATAATAAACACGAAGCACTGACGATGTGTTTAGCACTATTGCAGGCAATAACATTATGTTTGGACGACACCTAATGTAATGTCAGTTAAATATAGTTGGAGCATGGGAGAAAACCTTATAATGTGTACGTTTCTGGTAAACGTGAATACATGTAGCAACGTTGTTCCAAGGACTATCGAAGATTTTCGTCCAACGTCAACTGAGGTCGAACATCAATCTCATTAAAATCAGATCTACGTTCTCGCTGCCGCTGAACAAAGATCTGAGGACATCCCATTACGGGTCACGTCCGAACGACCTTTCGCGAACTTTGACCGACCACTGAAAGGACTTACAAGAAGTCGACATTAGCCAATTAGAAAGCAGCTTTCTCGAGCTTCACGGCACTCGTTTCAACCTGGCGACTTCCATTTCAGACTACGCTTGAAAAAAATGTTGACACAGTTCTCGATTAAAATTTTGAAAACTGAACAAACGAACATTCCGGAATGTCTAATATATGGCTGAGATTGTATGGCAGTGAATGCCACGTACTGTGCAACGCCTCCTCCGTTCAAATGTTTATCCCACTGAAGCGAGAGATAGACGATAATTTTGAGGGAATCAGTCGAAAGGGCCGTAACTGTCGTTCGGAATACACAGTGTTTACGTTTTCGAGGTTGCGTGATAAGAAAACACATTCCGACTGTCACTTTCATGATCTGGTAAGCGACGCTTTGATTGGTCGGATGAAAGGTCGTTCTGACGTGACCCGTAATGAGATGCCCTCAGATCTTTGTTTAGCGATAGCGAGAACTAAGATCTGATTTCAATGAGATTGGGTCGAACATTGTAATAGCAACAGAAACATATATTTGACAGAGATAAAGTCATGAATTGTTTGCTCACCCATGAATAATACTGAATACATGTCAAAAAGGCAAAAATAACCGTAATCAACTGATTACTGAAACATGATTATAATTATGCTGATATACTAACATAGACTTGACATTCGTGAACACAACAAAGCACTCGTCAAGACACAATAAGGGAGCTTCAAACAGTTTCAAGTTAAATATATATGTGTGTTAGATCACACATCGACTCCCCATCACTCAGCCGTACATCTCTAATGAGAAAAGAGATTAACCCGCCATTTCATCATCACTTGTATCAAGAGCACCAACCTTACAAGCCCGAATGTTTATATGTTACAAGATAACAGTTAACATCTTTCTTCATGGTTTGTATAGATCAGGGAAACAATACTACACTTTAAATAAAAATGATAATAGGCCATTTATATTGCGCATATTTCCACACCACACAGGGACATGCTTAATGCGCTATTATTACCCCGGTTTAGGGATCTGTGTGCACTCAACAATCATTCTCGGGTCCCTGGGGAGTATACACCCCAGACTGCCTGTTGACGCTGGAAGGTTATCAACTCATCTCATCCTACCGGGTACCCGTTCACTGCTGGGTGATCAGAGGCACATTTCGAACAGAGTCACTTGCCCACGGAGACGCCACATGTGGTACATGTGCTTCAGTGTGGGGCGGAGAAACTCTCAGGAGTCAAGCTGCTGAATGCGGTCACCCATCCGTGGACTCCTTGCGACCCACGTCAGCTGATTTGTGACCTGTGCACTGGTCACAGGACCACGTGCCACCACGTATCTTTAAATCTTTTCAACATAATACGAAGGCGGGTTGTTGAGTTCAAAACAGCCAAATCGCATGATAAATCATTGTATGATCATGTTACTGTTAATTCTGAGTATCTTAACACTGCAGGTGGATGATCAGGGTTGACGCTACACAATGGGTCTCTGTACGCAATGCAGAGTGTCGAGGTTAGGTGTAGGTTGTAATTATACCTCTACAAAAATGCATTACGCTTGCAAACTATATATAACTCCTATATCTTACCGTCATGGTCGATTTCCTCGTCCGAAATACAGACAGTGAGCTCGAGCTTGTTAAAGTTGGGCGCTTCAATTGTCACATTGAATGTTTCCTCTTCCTCGGGATCCTGGGAGGTAAGAAGGTGCAGCTTGACAGTCAAAACGAACGTTTCTATACAGAATGTATTACGTTCGCGGGCAGCTCATGTAATCAGTCATGGCAAGATAAACATTTGACAATCCGTAGTTTGAATACTAGATATGTCTCAGTTTATGTGTCTTGGTTTGATGTGTCTTTGTTTCTGTGTCTTAGATGGTGTGTCTTAGTCAATGTGTCTTAGTTGACGTGTCTAAGTTGATGTGTCTTAGTTGATGTGTCTTGGTTGATGTCTTAGTTAATGTGTCTTGGTTGATGTGTCTTAGTTGATGTGTTTTAGTTGACGTGTCTTAGTTGTTGTGTCTTAGTTGATGTGTTTTGGTTGATGTGTCTTAGTTGATGTGTCTTAGTTGATGTGTTTTGGTTGATGTCTTAGTTAATGTGTCTTGGTTGATGTGTCTTAGTTGATGTGTCTTGGTTAATGTGTCTTAGTTGATGTGTCTCAGTTGATGTCTTAGTTGATGTGTCTTAGTTGATGTGTCTTAGTTGATGTGTCTTGGTTGATGTGTCTTAGTTGATGTGTCTTAGTTGATGTCTTAGTTGATGTGTCTTAGTTGATGTGTCTTAGTTGATGTGTTTTGGTTGATGTCTTAGTTAATGTGTCTTGGTTGATGTGTCTTAGTTGATGTGTCTTGGTAAATGTGTCTTAGTTGATGTGTCTCAGTTGATGTCTTAGTTGATGTGTCTTAGTTGATGTGTCTTAGTTGATGTGTCTTAGTTGATGTGTTTTGGTTGATGTGTCTTAGTTGATGTCTTAGTTGATGTGTCTTAGTTTATGTCTTAGTTGATGTGTCTTGGTTGATGTGTCTTGGTTAATGTGTCTTAGTTAATGTGTCCTAGTTAGTGTGTCTTAGTTGATGTGTCTTGGTTGATGTGTCTTAGTTGATGTGTTTTGGTTGATGTGTCTTAGTTGATGTGTTTTGGTTGATGTGTCTTAGTTAATGTGTCTTAGTTGATGTGTCTTAGTTGATGTGTCTTGGTTAATGTGTCTTAGTTGACGTGTCTTAGTTGATGTGTCTTGGTTGATGTTTCTTAGTTGATGTCTTAGTTGATGTGTCTTAGTTGATGTCTTAGTTGATGTGTCTTGGTTGATGTGTCTTAGTTGATGTGTCTTGGTTGATGTGTCTTAGTTGATGTCTTAGTTGATGTGTCTTAGTTGATGTCTTAGTTGATGTGTCTTGGTTGATGTCTTAGTTGATGTGTCTTGGTTGATGTGTCTTGGTTGATGTGTCTTGGTTAATGTGTCTTAGTTAATGTGTCTTAGTTAGTGTCTTAGTTGATGTGTCTTGGTTGATGTGTCTTAGTTGATGTGTTTTGGTTGATGTGTCTTGGGGGCGGTCGGGTAGCCTAGTGGTTAAAGCGTTCGCTCGTCACGTCGAACACCCGGGTTCGATTCCCGACATGGGTACAATGTGTGAAGCTCATTTCTGGTGTCCCCCACCGTGATATTGCTCCAATATTGCTAAAAGCGGCGAAAAATCAAACTCACTCACTCACTAATGCGTCTTGGTTGATGTGTCTTGGTTAATGTGTCTTGGTTGACGTGTCTTAGTTTATGTGTCTTAGCTGACGTGTCCTAGTTTATGTGTCTACGTTGGTGTGTCTTAGTTAATGTGTCTTGGTTGATGAGTCTTAGACGATGTGTCTTGGTTGATGTGTCTCGGTTGATGTGTCTTAGGTGATGTGTCTTGGTTGACATGTCCCTGTTGATAATACTTAGTTTATGTGTCTACGCTGGTGTGTCTTAGTTAATGTGTCTTGGGTGATGAGTCTTAGATGATGTGTCTTGGTTGATGTGTCTTATTTCATTTGTTTTACTTGTTGTGTCTCGGTTGATGTGTCTCGGTTGGTCTGTCTTCGTTGATGTGTCATGGTTGATGTGAGAAAACCATTCTCACTCACTCACTCATTTGATGTGTCTCAGTTTATGTGTTTTGTTTATGTGCCATGGTTGATGTGTCTTGGTTGATTTGTCTTAGTTGATGTGTCTCAGTTGATGTGTCTTGGTTTATGTGTCTTTGTTGATGTGTCTTAGTCGATGTGTCTTGGTTTGTGTGTCTTGGTTGATGTGTACTAGTTGATGTGGTGATATTAATATAATTGTAATGTAAACCAAAGTGAAATAATTCTGATATTGGTAGATATATTCGACTCACCCCATCAATCGCAATGCCAATGGTGATGAAGGTGCCCCGGCCCGGAGGGGTCACAGTGACGGTGTGTGACGAGAGGGCAGTGAAGTCCCCAGGGGAGGTGGCCGTGACATCCACTGTGTTGATGGTCAGTGTCACAGGGGCCGTCAAGTTCCCAGTTATCCGCACTGGAATGGCCACTTGACCGTCCTCTTCCCACACACAGGAAGACTCGTCAAACAGGTAGGACAATTGTGGATTCGACACCACTGAAATTATTCAAGGATTGACTGTTGATTTATTCTGGTTCACTGTGGCATGACTCGAAACACCGATGTGTAAACTGTATCAATCAGCGAGTCTCTTCATGTAAACTGTATGAATCAGCGAGTCTCTTCATGTACAATATAAGGTACATGTATGTTATATTCCGTGCAAATTGATTAAGGTAAAGTGGTGTAGTATTGGATAACACCTACAAGTATATGCTGTGCATGTGAAATTAAGACTGCTTATATGTAAGGGCCCTTCTCGAATTGGATCATGTTTGAACCTACGATGAAGATAGTGCTCAAAATAATATAGTAAACCTTACAGAGAGGCCACAATTCTCCCCGAAACTGTTTGATGCATCCGATCGGCTAATTAATTTTCATAATATATATAATTAAGTTGATAGAAGTTGCGTCACGCATACTTTGATAACCACGTCCGTGATATTGACTCCAACCATTTAGTAATATGTACTTATCAAGTGGAATTGTAACATACCTCGAATGATATGATGAATAGATTAATAACATCGATCAAGAGATAACATTTACACGTCGTTCATAATTGTACTTAAAACTTTCATTGAAGTTTCATTCTTATTCTTAAGAGTAAATAGATAAAAAGAAGAGCACACGTGTAGCAGGTGTGCAAGCACTCAGTTAGTCACTGTGGAAAAACGTTACATTATATCTGATCAATATCGCATTCAAGCACAAGTTTTATTCTCATCAACAATATTTTAGAATTCATATCAGTGGCCATTTGACTGGTACCAGTACAACACAATATGAATCTATAGAGTATAGGTGACAAAATACGAATCGCCTCGGCTAACTGAAGGGCCCTGGCAGAAAAAAAAGAATACGTAAGGAAATAATTAACCTTTGGCGTAAAAGAAATTGTTCAATTATATGCCATATTATATATTATATACCCCGGATCTTCACTGGTCTGTAAACTTATGAACAGTGTTATCAATGACAAGGGGGAATTAATATCAGATGCGAAGGCTATTTATTTTAGATGAACAAAGAAACTTTTATGAAAAGTTATATTCTTTAAGTTGTAAAGTAACAAATGAAAATATTAATATATTTGATAACATTAAATTTTATACACCCACACATATTCCTGCAAGGGCTGAAAATACTGATGGCGATATAACTATGGATGAAATAGAACATGTTTTCAAGTCCATAAACAAAAGCCCAGGAATAGATTGTTTCCAAATAGAATTTTTCATTTTTTTCTGGAAGGATCTTCAAATTTGGGTTTGTTGTTGCATAATGATGTTCAGGCAAAATAGTTCAGTTAAACAATTTACAGAGGCATTATCAAATGTGTAGCCCAAGCCAACTAAAACAGGCAGTTGTTAAAAACTTGTCCAATTTCCTTGCTAAACTCTTTGTATAGTATTGAGTACTTGTATAGCAAATAGAACTAAAACGTCATTAAATACACTTATTCATGAAGATCAAACAGGTTTTATACCAGGAAGATGCATCAGGGAGAACATTAGACACAATATCTTTTTTTCATAATCCTGACCCTGTTTTCCTTGTAACTTTGTTTCAAACAACAAAGTTACAAGGAAAACAGGGTCAGGATTATGAAAAAAAGATTTTACACTGTTTCCAAAGAATGTATAATTTTGACAGACTTTGGACCCAATATGGAAAATGGATCAAAGTACTAATTAATAATGCCTCATCATGTGTTATACAAACCGGTCTTTTGTCGTTATTTGTTTTATAATGAAAGGGAATGTAGACAATGATATAAGTTTTCTCCCTACCTATTCCTCTTTGTAGCTGCGATCTTAGGAATAATGATGCGTAACAACAGTGAAATATAAACAATTATACTGAAAAACTTTGAACATAAGCTTGGACAACATGTTGATGATACCGAATTATTTCTAGATGGAACTGAACAAAGTTTAATAGCAGCTATTTATGTACTAATTGGTTTCAATGAAATGTCTTGTTTAAGAATAAAGTAAATAAAACTAAATCTATTAAGATATGCTCAATGGCAGGTAGAAACATAACTTTATGCCAGGACTTAAAACTTGAGTGCCATTATGGGGATTTTGATATTCTAAGTTTAAAGCTCAATCCTTACTTAAATAACCTTTAGGTCATTAACACACGACAAAGACAAGAAAACATTCAAAGACATTTGACATTGATAGAAAAGGTAACTGTTGTTAAAACTTTGGCTCTTTCATCACTGGTACATATATATTCACTACACTTCGAAACCCCCCAAAGGAATTCATTGATGATAAAAAAAAAAAAAACGAACAACATTGATTCATTGATGATAAAAAAAACAAAAACGAACAACACTTATTAGAAAATATGAAGAAGTGGGAAACAGGATGGTAGATATTAACATATTCATCAACTCATTTAAAATTATAAAAAATAAGTATCTTCAAAATAAAAACAACACAAATCCTAGTACCCGTCTGGTTACAGAAATAGTTCTGCTTGGCGCTCATATAGAAAATCACATGATAAATATTATCAACCCTTTTTAGAAGGATGTATTGGCTGCATGGGGAATGTTTTAAAGACAAAATAAAACCGATTTCACAGATATTGATCAAGTGCCATCTGAACCTCTTTGGATCAATCAATAATTCCCAGTTGGTAATTTCGTCATAAGACATTGGAATCTTAATGGTATTAAGTCCATCAGGGACCTGTGTATTGATCAATGATATGTGCCATTTAGTGAACTTAAGAACACCGACAAAATTAGAGGTACAATTCTTAATTATCATCGGTTTATGTTTCAATAAGTCCTAAAGAGTGGAAAGATACTATTAGGCATAATTCTTTGATATTACATAACCATTATCTCAACATATCATTGGTGGGTTTACTCTCAGCACAACAAACTATCCAGATCCAGACAAACTTATTAGTGCAATAAGTGAAAAGCGGCCAAATATCTTTGGTATTGCACTTGCCTGGGAACATTCTGTTAAACAATATAGAAAAAATCTACAAATGACATAAATTGACCGATTTCCAATTTGAATACAACCATAGTACTATTTATACAAATAATTGTTATGAATGAAATTTGAGGATGATCAAATTTGCTCATTGTGTAACAACATGTCAGAAACTGGATTCATGTTTATTGGGAATGTAATGGGGTCATAACATTCTGGATGAAACATAACGACTATATTGAAGGGGATATAATATTGACGAAATATACAGTTTTAATTGGCGGAAATAATACGGCCTTATGAACCACTTTACTTGCTGGTAAAAACAATATTCATGCATCAAGTGTTTAAAAAAAGTTTAAACATTTATTAAGATACAATGTGATATATTCAAGACAGAAAGATTTATTGCCAGTAGGAATCAGATTTTTTTATAAACTGAACGAAATTGGTCGTCTATTAAATGTATTTTCTTAATGCACGCCCATGTTACTCATACTTTTGTCAAACTTTGTAATACTATGTATGTCATCACCTTATACCAAGTGATTTGAGTGAATAAAAATAAAAATGTGAAAAATAGTATGATTCGATATGTAAGATAATGCCCGCCTCCAAGATATGCTTTGTCAATCACAATGATCACTCAAACAAGCGAAGTGGTACAAACATATCAATTCATTTACGAACCAAACAAACACGGCACATGTACACATCCATCATGATTCCGGACCGCCTCCGTGGTCTAGTGGTAGAGCGTCCGCCCGGAGAGCGGAAGGTCCGGGGTTCGATCCCCGGCCGCGTAAGACTAAAAGACTATAAAATATGGTTCTTCTTGTTACCCTGTCTGGCGCTCGGCATTAAGGGGCTAAAACAAGGACTGGTCGGCTCGGAGTCAGTATACTGTGTCTGAGTGGGGTATTCATGTTAAACTGCGGCATGGTATCTGTGAGCTAGCACTCTAACGGACTAGTACAAGCAGCCACACACACACGTCGCTTTATAAGTGCAATAATCTTGGACGCGATGTCAAACCCCCTTTTAACCTCACCTCATAATTCCGACTTTTACGACTTCGAGAGTTTTACACTTGAACAGTATTTCAGTTATTTCACGGCATGTCAGTTATTTCACGGCATGTCAGTTATTTCACGGCATGTCAGTTACAAGTACTTCATAGTGTCTGGCAAACCTAAGTTGGATAACTTTTGCCCAATCCCGTTGACCATATATGTCAATAACATATGTTTAAAACAAAACACACCGCATTTCAGCGTCGTGAGCTGCGGAGACAGATACACGTGTACACATACGTACCTTCACAGGTGAGCCATGATACCAGCAGCACGACTAACGTTCTTCTCAACACACCAAGCAACATCTCCAAGGTTGAGGTCGTCCGAATGTGACTGTACTTTCAAACAAAAAGAAATCTAAGGACAATTATTTGTTCAATATTCAAGAGTAGGTCATCATCGTGTCCATTATGACATATGCTCTTCGAAATCGACGGTAGTTGGGTGAGCGTTGTTAATTCTAACTTACCTGGTTCTCTCATCAAGCGAGCGTGACAACAGGACAAGACTGTTGATACTTTCTGTGTCACAATTTAGCCTAGACTGGCGCCAGTCTCTGTTCCCAAATAAAGGCTTCTAGAACAAATCTTGGTACAAATTCTTCGTCACTACTGGTTTAAATTCTTTTCCAACCCTCTGAACCTATATGCGAATCTTGATGTAACAATGTAGCAATTGTTTACGGCATTGTGCGACATTTATCACATAATGTTTAGGAAACTAGAGACGAACATAGTCCTATTTAGGCTTCAATGCTCACATTAAATTGCAAACAAAGCGGACTGTATACATGCAGCAACAATGACACGTCAACGCCAGATAATATCTAGTCTCGCTTATCCTTCGAAACTGATTCCAATGCGCGTCAAGAGCCAAATAGTGGTTACAAGTATATGAAAGTATCACTGAAAATCATTGATGACACGGGGTGCTCGCGAAGAGGGTAGGCATGTCCTGCCCTGGCGGTAACACTAGTACTAAGTGTATAAGTCAGTGTTGTGTTGCCTGCCACCACACAGCAGTACTCCTGCCATGCGACGGCGGCCTGAACACAAACCAGACAATCCAGTGATGGACCACAATCTAGTCACAAGGTTGCGTATTTACTGATTTTTTTCAAACTAAAAACAACATCTTATTCTTGAATTACGTCTGCTGTTTACAAGTGCAGAGATTCTGAATCTTAAAAGTAAAGAAAAAACGTTTAAGAATTATTTTTGTTTTGCAACACGGTTGGTTTGGGTTGGGTAAGTTTTCATGTCTCGGCTCAAACATTCATTTTGAAGTTAAATCAGCATAACTGATAATGCTAATGAGCTTATGATGAAACTCGGGGACTTAGGACCAGAAACATCGACCTAGTTCAAGTAAATATAAAACGTCAACGCCAGAGAATAACCAGTCTCGATTATCCGACGAGTTGAGAGTAAAAGGAAATCTAGCTTTGATAGGAAGATGTTATAACATTGACTCTCGTCCGACTCTTGTCTATAAGAAATATATAATAATATTGACTCTCGTGTATGAGTGAGTGAGTGAGTTTGGTTTAACGCCGCTTTTAACAGTATTCCACTTATATCAGGGCATGCCAGCCCAATGTGGGAGGAAAGCCCGAAGTAAGCAGGTCTCAGACGTTTACCACTTTGGTGAAACCCACGAGCACGGGTATGGTGCTGACAAACCTAGAAACATAATCGGGGCGAACCGGGATTCGAACCCACAACCATAGGTTTCTGGTGTGCCCAAAGGACGCAACTCTGCATAGCGAATCGTGGCGCCTTAAACGACTGGGCCACCTGTGACCCCCTCGTGTGTGGGGATTATGTAATAATTGACTCTAGTGTACTCTACCATAACGTTGACTGCTATTACGTAACTGTAATGCTATTACGACACAGAAGCCAACATGTACACAAAATGCTGTCCAGTAGTGAGCGAGGGAGGTGTCTTTAATGCCGCCTAGAAATAGCGCATGTGGGACATTCACCACTTCAGTGAAACTCACAAGCAAGGGCATGGTCCAGGGCCCCGTTCCTCAAAGCGATCTTAGCACTACGATGATCGTAAGCCTATGTTGAAGTATGGGAGTTACAATCATCTTAGTGCTAAGAACGCTTTGAGGAACGGGGCCCTGGAAACTAATCATCACAATTAGGGCGAATTTAAAATTCGATCCCAAAATCTAAGGATCCTGATACTCCTAGGGGACGCAACTCGATGCGGCACGTGAAGCCCCTACGTCGCGAGCGACCCCTCACATGCAAACCACAGCTGCAGATCAAAGATGCGTCGAATTTTTCCCATCAACATAAGCTGTGATATTTGTAAACTACGATTGAAATAATTTCTAAAAAGCGATACCTTTTGACTGTAATGATATCCGAACATTAACGGTCGTGTCATCCTCACACAATCTGTACCCGTCAGTCAGAAAGGGAGACGCCATATCTCTGAATAATGTGTCTGGTATGAATACCTTAATGGGTTAAAAGATACGATCTGCCTCCGCTGTGAGTCAGCGACTGCAACTAGGGAGCCCCGGTGTGAATACATGGACGTTGTCACGCGGGTTTGACTTCATACCACTCCTGAAGTCTTCCTATAAGGCTTTGTTAAACAAGTTCAGAGAAGGGCGTCATCTCCATGGCAAAGAACAGTGAATTTCTTCCATCCTTTGTCATATCAATGTCATTATATAAATCAGCCGATGCAGAGAGCTATTCACTGAGTCTTCAATACTGCTATAAGGGCCTTTGTGTATTTGTGTCTTGACTAAAAGTATCTTTTGTATTCTTGTCAGGTGATATTTGAGGCAGGTTCGTCATAAACACTGTTACTTAAATAGACGAAAGCTCATCTCAAATTGCTCGTGCACTTCACTCAAAGTAACGCCCATCTCGCGTTGTTCGTGCCCTTCATGTGACGACAAACTTTCCATAAGACTGTATGACAAAGGGGATGTTCCTAAACTATAATCAACTTCATCTTTTTGTTTGTCAATATCCCAGTAGCACTAGACTGTGGCGTCTACAGTTCACAACGTTTGACGTACAATCGAAAAGCATCGTAGGACTCGTGTGGTCCGGGTTACAACACTCAAGGCCCCCATGTAAAGCTTTCAAAACGTTTATGGTAGACATGAGGAGGATATTTCCAAATTTGAGTGACCAATATTATATCCGGTGAAATTCCATATTTTGACTCGTACAAAGTGCTCCCGTATTTGTTTCAGGCAAACACTTGACTTGCCTTTGCATGTGTTTGTGATGGGTGCCGCCGGTGGGGCAGGATACGTTCATCCTTTTGACAACACCTGGTATTATGGACATTTGAGAGTGATTCATAAACACACGCTTGTGATACAGTCGGAATCGAACAAAGTATGGAAAAGGTTTTGCCACTTTTATTTCAATCCCGAGCAATATACATGTCGTTGCAAATCTCATCAACACGAGGGGGCACGGGAGGCCCAGTCGTCTAAGGTGCCGCGATTCGCTGTGCAGAGTTGCGTCCCTTGGGTCGCCAGGAACCTATGAGTGTGGGTTCGAATCCCGGTTTGCCCCGATGATGTTTGTAGGTTTGTCAGCACCGGTTTCACCGAAGTGGCAAACGTCTGAGACCTGCATCACTTCGGGCTTTCCTCCCACAGTAAGCTGACATGACGTGATATATCTGGAATACTGTTCTATCAGCACGATTACAGTGAGAGTGAGCAAGGTGCGTTAACGTTAACGTTTAACGCCATACTGAACAGAGTGACGGTACATGATGTTACTGAAGCGAAGGACGTTGAACACGAGCACTGCTGCTGAACCAAGTGACGTAATATATCAAAGGGTGGAGTGACGTAATATATCAACAGTATGAAGTGCCGTAATATATCAACAGTATGAGGTGACGTAATATATCAACAGTATGAAGTGACGTAATATATCAATCGGATGGAGTGACGTAATATGTCAACAGTATGTAGTGACGTATTATATCAACAGTATGAAGTGACGTAATATATCAACATTATGAAGTGACGTAATATATCAACAGTATGATCTGACGTAATATATCAACAGTATGGAGTGACGTAATAAATCAATCGGATGGAGTGACGTAATATATCAACAGTATGAAGTGACGTAATATATCAATCGGATGGAGTGACGTAATATATCAACAGTATGAAGTGACGTATTATATCAACAGTATGAAGTGACGTAATATATCAATCGGATGGAGTGACGTAATATGTCAACAGTATGTAGTGACGTATTATATCAACAGTATGAAGTGACGTAATATATCAACAGTATGAAGTGACGTAATATATCAACAGTATGAACTGACGTAATATATCAACAGTATGGAGTGACGTAATAAATCAATCGGATGGAGTGACGTAATATATCAACAGTATGAAGTGACGTAATATATCAATCGGATGAAGTGACGTAATATATCAACAGTATGAAGTGACGTAATATATCAACAGTATGAAGTGTAATATATCAACAGTATGAAGTGACGTAATATATCAACAGGATGAAGAAAACCAATGACATCGCTTGAGATCATCTTGTGATATGCCATTGGTTTAGGTAGAGAAATGTCGGGAGTTGAGGTAAGGTGGAGTTTAATGTCGCGTTTCATGATTTTTGCACTCATAGGGAGAAGTGCATGCACGTGTGTGTATATGCGGGTGTGTGTGGCTGCTTGCACCAGTACGGACCAGTACGGACATCTTAAATGTTAGCCCACTGAAATACCATGCCACAATTTAACATGGATACCCACAGTATACGGACTCTGAGTCGACCAGTCCGTGTTTTATTCCCTTAATGCCGAGAGGGGCGGTCGGGTAGCCGAGTGGTTAGAGCGTTCGCTCGACACGCCGAAGACCCGGGTTCGATTCCCGACATGGGTACAATGTGTGAAGCCCATTTCTGGTGTCCCCCGCCGTGATATTGCTGGGATATTGCTAAAAGCGGCGTAAAACCATACTCACTCACCTTAATGCCGAGCAACATACCGGGAAACAACAAGTTAGGGAAGGGGAAATGGAGTTTAACGTCGCGTGTGTGTGTGCGTGCGTGCGTGCGTGCGTGCGTGCGTGTTTGTGTGTGTGCGCGTGCGTGCGTGCGTGTCTGTGTGTGTATGTGTGTGCGTGCGTGCGTGCGTGCGTGCGTGTGTGTGTGTGTGTGCATGCGTGCGTGCGTGCGTGCGTGTGTGTGTGTGCGTGCGCGCTAGTCCGGGCCGATGCCGATTTAAGCCAGCCCACTGAGATACCATGCCGCAGTTTAGCATGAATACCTCACTCAGACACACAATACTGACCCCGAGCCGGCCAGTCCTTGTCTTAGCCCCTTAATGTTGAGCACCAGACAGAGTGACACCAGACAGACAAAGTGCTCCCGTATTTGTTTCAGGCAAACACTTGACTTGCCTTTGCATGTGTTTGTGATGGGTGCCGCCGGTGGGGCAGGATACGTTCATCCTTTTGACAACACCTGGTATTATGGACATTTGAGAGTGATTCATAAACACACGCTTGTGATACAGTCGGAATCGAACAAAGTA